GACTAGCCAGTTAACTACCAGTTGTCCAGTTTGGCAGCCTCTTGTCTAGATGTTCTGATTTAAAGGTGCTATTTTTCATACTTAGGTAGGCAGTTTCCTTGCTATCCAGGAGGAGTCACACTCTGTATGGGCTGTCCAGGGATGTGCCAAAAAACAGACTCTCACCCAGCCAACAAATTAACTCTCCTACCCTATAAATGATTTTGTGTTAATGTAGATGAAAACAGTCCTGCTTTACTTAAGCCTTGTAGAACCCAAACACAACAGCGTTGGGCAAGGGCACAAAAGCCAGAAGCAGGGATGGGGAAACAGACTACAAACAGAACCAGAAGTGACCCAGGTAGTTTCATTGTCCAAACTGATGATAATACAAAAAGTAAACAAGAAGCATAAACAGTAAAAAGCAAGTTCAGTTTTGAAGGGTCTTTTGTCTTGTATTAACTTGAAGCATAATTAGTAATGTTGGTAAGGAATTGGTTTTAAATTATATATGTTTTAAATGTACATGAATAGCTTGTACAGGCAATTTTGGTATTTTTATGCAGAATGGGCCATCAGACAACTCTGTGTGCAATACCTGATTTTTACACACAGTCAGGTAAGTGAGGCAGCAAATTATGAATACAATTGTAAGATTTTTGGGGGAAAAAAATAGGCACAGGATTAAAGGAACACCGTCAAGACAGAAAACAACTGAAACACTGCAACACTGCTCCAGTCCATCAGTGGAGTGAGGAGGTATTTATTTTAAGCTAACTCTCAGACTGTGGCACCAGTGTTTTTGGGGGTGGGATGTTAAGTGCCTCAGCCTTCTTCAGGCTGTAAAGTTCCACCCCACGCAAATAAAAATGTAAGCATATAACTTCCTCTGAGAAGCCCCAGAGCTCTATGCTCACAACTGAAAATTGAGCCTTAAATTAAGACTTGGCAGGAAAAGTAACTCCCCGATATTCATCACAAACGCTGCCCCTAGTAGAGTTGCTGTATAATTTACATTTATGCAAGGATATCCCAGTGGCCTGGCTGCAAAGCTGGAGATCCTTGGGCATACAGAGTTCAATAAGCACAGCGTTTTGGACGTTAAAACCTATTAAAAATGTATGGTAGGGATTGAGAATTCTATACGATGGAAGAAAAATAAAGTTGGCAAATAACTGGCCAGAATATGGGGATTCATTAATAATAATCACAGGACTGGGCAAAACCCCAAATTGGGAAGTTTTCCTTTTCCTTTCAATCAATGTTAGTTTCTTTTATTTCCTTGTTATAAACAAAGAACTTTGAGGACAATCCTTGCTAACCCTCACTTTTTTGGGTGGTTTATTTACAGGCCCATATTTTAGTTAACTACTTGCAGTGTCTGGCAAAGTACTTTAGATCCACAGCTTAGATAATATTCTTTAAATAATATATATTTGATGCATTTTGCGATTTTTAAAAAAATTATTCAGTATGATTTTGTTTCCATTATTGGTACACAAGGGGACCAGATAGCAAGAGTGAAAAATCAGGATTGGAGGGGGGGCAAAGGGTAGTAGCTGCTCATATAAAAGACAAAGCCCCTAATATTGGTATGGTCCCCATAATATCGGGATATCTGGTCACCCTGTTGATACTGGGCCAATTTTATAAACTGTAAGTCACAAAAGCACCTGTCAAGTAATTTATTTAAAAATATGTCTGACATCGTTATTCAAAATATTTTAAGGAACTTCTTCTTCACTCAATATTTCTAAAATGATACACTGAGTAAAAGGGCGTTTTCAAGATGCACAAAGGTTCGACTATTGCACAGACTCCCACAAAATCTAATGGCATGTAAAGAACCCAGAAAAAATAAACTCCCCATCTACATCAGAGCATTGGGAGAATGCATTTGTTTCCCTTAAAACAAACCCCGCAGTGAACTAAGCAGGTGTTAGCACTCCTGTCTGAGAGCAAGGAAAAGATTTATTATTTAACTCCCAAACAAATGCTGAGATTACTGTAGAAAGGGTTACAATTCATCATGCATTGAACCAGGCACCTGGTGAAACATTAAAAGAAATTCAAATAATTTTAATGACCCTATAGGCTTTTTAAAGGAGAGCTAGTAAAGGATTCCTTCTTCAAACTAAGCAGTGAAAGGCTGTCATTCAGAAGTCCTAATGTGATGGACAGAAGTGTTGATAAGAGGACTTTTAGAGTTGAAACTTGTTAAGTGTAAGTTTTGACAATGTGAATGACAGCTTTGAAAGGTGAATGTATCTGAAGAGGCAAGAGGTTTAGATTCCTATCAGCAGCCTGAAGAACAGAAAATATCCAGGCTGTGAACAATTCTGTCTAAAGACGCTCAAAGCTATACTGTAGTTTTACATGGATCAGAACTGACCTTTACAATGTGAGAGGAGATTTAGATGCTCCCTGTCAGAGGAAGCACCACAGGATTTGGCAGAATGGGGGACTTGTCTTGATAAGTCTCTCTTTTAAGTAGTAAGACCAGCTACTAATATATGATACTACACTTCTTTTATTGAATGAAAGGCCTGAGCACTGCAAATCTGAGAGGTAGTTTCCATCTGTAACCCTCCATTCAGCTCTTTCACTAGTTGTAAATCAAAAACCCCTGATTTACTCACTTAAAAATAAATTTGCATTCAAGCTTTATCTGCTCCCCCCATTGAGATGAAAAACAGATCTTTCTAGAAGATGTTTACCACTCAGAAAATGAAACAAGATTGCAATGCTGGGTATCAACATGGTAAGGGACATTAAGTATTTAGTTAATACTACAGGTTAAGCAAAACATATGTTGAGTTTAATTCCAAAATACAGCAATAGCCATCAATCAGATAGATTATCAAATTGCAACTCTTTTGTCCAAAGCTGGCACTAATGGACCTCTTACTACCAGAGGATAATCTTAGTCTTCCATTTCTGTATGGAAGCTTTAGGACTGGCTGGGCAAGGGAGTCCTAATCTTAAACACATAGGATTATTTTTTAAAAAGTCAAAGTCGTACTGCAAAATCAGTTTTCACTGAGATAATCCTAACCAACATGAAATGCCAGATAAAATGTAAGGCAAACACACTTTTAGAATACCACGGGAAAGGACTTCAAATGGCAATAGATTTCCCCTTCATATATTTTTAATCAACTGTAAAATATTTGGGAGGGGATTGGATGGCTATAGGTTAGTCACAATGCAAGATATGTGATTTAAATATATATTATATTAAGCTTGTAAGTAGTAACCTGGGCCCAGACCCTGTACCGGTCACAGAGGATAGTATAACCAGCCTACCTCCCTAAGCCAGTCAAAGCCAGAAGATCAAAATAAAAAGGGGAATGGGGGAACGGGAAGGTCTATTTTATTTATGTTGCTTGGGTGAAATAGTGTGCTTCCATCTGTAGTTATTTATAAGCCTCTGAGGCCCCTTTTGCTGTCTCTGCAGCAGCCTTTGCCCATTCAATTGGCCACTCTGAGAAGCCTGACCACCATTGGACCCTTCCACATGGTGCCAGAAACCCTGAGCTATATATGACCTCTCCAGTGACATATCCCAGGTGGGCATCATATACACATGCTGGATTACGCCCAGCAAAGGAGAACCTCAAGCAAAAAAAAAGAGCCTTTATTTTGATATACATCATTTTAGGACTACGGAAAAATCTGCATCTAGAGTTTCATATCTGTAAACTCTTGCCATATTGAGGGGCTGAATCACTGTCAAATTACAATCCCAAACCACCTTCCTATTAGTCATAGAATATGGAAGAGCATAATCTGTTAGGATATTGTTCGTAACAGAAGTGATATCGTATTTCAGAGCTCATATTCCCACAGATAACAGCATCATCAAAAACACAAAGAATCAAATCCTGAAGTCCTCACTCATTTTTTTTCTCCTTCCAGTCCTCCTACATTTGAGCCAGTAGGAGTTTTGTTTGTGATAGCAGAGAAGGGGGAAAGGGAGGAAAAAAGGGGAGGGGAAGAAATAAAAATGAAAAAAATAAAAGAAAGATTGAAAAACTTGGCCCATTAAAAAAGTACTTAAGTACACCTATCCTAATCCTGCAAACCCTCATTCAGATAAGCAGTGTTACTCATGCATGTAGCTCCATTCGTCTTGATAGAACTACTCAACTGACTAAGGGTTTACAGGACTGAGCTCAACTTCTTTAAAAGATTTACACCATTTATGTGCTGTTTTTGCCCATTTCTTGTATATCACCAGGAATTCAAAAAAGATAACATGGTCTAATGAAAATGTAAATATTCATTTCGGCATAGAACCTACACAAACTGATTGGGATGTGTGGTGAAACATTAGAAAGGCTGTAAGGTACAAAAAAATTGTCTCTACCAATTTAGAGGTTAATATTTTAGTGATCCTCCCTTAAATAATACATCATCTTTTGAACAAGCTCATATTTTATAGATGAGGCTCTTTAAACCAAATTGAATTGAGCTACAGTGTTACTATAGTGGTGTCCCCTCATCCTGAATCGCTCAACACTCATCGATTCCTGCTAGACACTCATTGATAGGGTTAATTAATTTATGAGCTTGTCATTACAAGTCATTGATTAAGATGTCCTTCTTAAAGATTTAATTATGCCCAAAGATAAAAGATTTGCTAATTATTGTCTTTTATCTAATTGAAGCTTTGTATTACAAATAAAGTTCAAAGGTTTAAGACAGTTGCCCTTTCAACCATTTGGACAAAGATGAGAATTTAATTAGAGGAGAGACCATGTTCTCACTGGCATCTTCAAATATCTTCAGCAGCCATTCTGGTAACAGAACTGATGACTGTGCAATATGGAGAGACCCTAGAAAAATCTTTTAACCTTTTTTGTCTTTCTAATAGTGTTGCAGCATTGTTCCATTCTGGATCTGGTTCTATCAAGCAATTTGATAGTCTGGCACATGTAGAGGAATAGGTTAGATCAAAGTTTAGTCATTTTCCCAATACCCCCACTCCTCCCACAAGTGTGTATCCTTAAAATACTTACATGCTTGGAAAATCCTCACAATGGGGGGATAACTCCTAATACTGTTGCTTTCATTCCTTCAAAACCCTGATATTCTATGATTCTATGAAAAGAAAAGCAAAATGTGGGTTATAAGAACTGTACGTATTTGATGACGAATTCCCCAAGACCTCAGTGTCCAAATGTTAAAATTTCTTAATATGAGTGATACAAGAGAAGTCTCTTTCTGTATCATAAATTGACTGAGTCTCGTGTCTTGATTCTGCAGTTATTTCACAGTAGCACAAATCAAGAAGAAATAATATGCCTGTGTAGAGAATGACAAATCATAACACAAGAAGCCTAATTTTTTTTAATTTAATTCCTAGTGTAGGATTGCACCAGCATTAAATGTAAGTATACGGGCACCTTGATAGTGCAAGCAGTAGTTCTAGATGCACATAGTATTTGTGGGTGTACACATGGAAACGACACATACAGATAATCATTTTGACACCTACCTGAGCACATACTTTGATGTCAATGCTGACACAAGTTAGCTTTTGCACACTATGCACTTCTTAAGAGTTTGGCCATGGCCAAACAAAGATACAAGTTGCAAACAAAGTATTTACCATTATGAAATATTAGCGCATAATAATTAATACAATTGGAAACAAAGTGTTTTCATAGGGCCAAGGTACCAAAGGTGCAGACATTCAAATATCTAGGTTCAATAGTACAGGACAGAGGTAAACTCAATGATGAGCTTATAAGCACAACAGGAAGGGCATGGACTAAATGGAGAGACTGGAGCAGACTGATCTGCAATAGGAGAATGCCTATCAAATTGAAAAAAGTAAGACCTACAAGACAGGAATTAGGCCTGCACTTTTGTATGGCTCTGAATGCTGGGCACCGATGAAGAGACAGGAGCAGATCTTGAATATAGTCAAAATGAACATGTTAAGATGGATGCTTGAAATTACAAGGATGGACCATGTTTGGAACAAATAAATTACGGGAAGTGTGAAGGTAGTACCAATTACAGAAAACCTGATGGAATCCAGGCTTAGTTGGTTTGGGCATGTGAAAAGATCAGAAGAATATATAGGAAACAGGGTGTTAAACTTATAAGTGGAGGGTAAAAAGGGTTGAAAGCCCCAACACAAGGTAGATGGATGCCATACTAAAGGATCTGATCAGCTATCACATTTCCAAGAAAATGCTTCAAGACAGACCGGAATGGAGAAGGACTTGAAAAGCTGACCCCACATAGATGGGACTAAGGCAAGAACAAACAAACAAAGAAGATTGTTAGACTGTACCTAGACATACATTGTTGCCAGAAAGAATCTCCTGCTACACATGTGTGGGGGCAAAAGCCATGACAATACCCATTAAATAAAATATTATTGTTCTGAAACTACAAAACATTCCAAGTAAGTATTCTCTCCGAATAAATGCCACTCTACCAGCTCATCAAATTGCTTGACATTATTAAACAAGTATAAATCAATTCATCTGTATAATCAATACAAACTAGTTCTGGAAATCTCCCTCACTTATTGATATAGTTTGAGAATAGAATATTTAACAATTAAAAGAGATTATACATTTCCTTCTCTTTTCCAGTGTTATAAATTAATGTTTGTGGACCAAAAGAAACAAAGTGGATTTTCTGGGGGCCATTTACAGAAGAAGTGATCCCAAACTACAACCACCATAAATATGGGGGCATTCCAAATTCAAATTCTTATCCAGATCCAAATATTTGCAAACATCTCATAAAAGGATTGAACTTATAAATATGCATGCACACAATCATGCAACAGGGATTTTTTCTGGGTGGGGGAACGTGGGAGGAGAGAGACTCACACACCTTAACCAGCTGCATGAGAATTTCACAATCAAAGAATATCAGGGTTGGAAGGGACCTGAGGAGATCATCTAGTCCAATCCCCTGCTCAAAGCAGGACCAATCCCCAATTTTTGCCCCAGATCCCAAATGGCCTCCTCAAGGATTGAACTCACAATCCTGGGTTTAGCAAGCCAATGCTCAAACCACTGAGCTATCCCTCCTCCCAATCACTTATGTGCACTGCACTGGAAGTTAGTCTGACAAGTGTTAGTTTGAGTGTGACAAGGTCACAAAGTCTTTACCTTTCGTTAAATAATGTAAATCAATAGCCAATGAGCTCTGTTCAATCGCATAGTGCTATTCAGAATGCTACTCATTAATAACAAAACAAATCTAGCTCCCTTCTGAAAAGATAAAAAAAAAGCACAACAAAGCAGATTGTGCACATTTCCAATTCTACACTCTTACAATTATTTACTGAATGCAGAAATATTATAAGGCAGTTGCTGAAGAACCTCACTAATCCACATTAATGGTGTCTGGGGCGGGGGAGGGAGGGAAATGTATTCCCAAAGTTTCTGTAATGACAGGATGTTGACAATGAGACCAGGAATTCATGCTGCCCTTGCAACAATGGGCCTGATTCCACTCTCACACCAGCACAACACCACTGAAGTTAGTGGTGTTTGTGTGATCATAATCTGACCTGAGTTCAACATAGTCAGGCAGGATTTACACCAGGGAAATCCAAGATCCAGGCCAGGGGTGGCCATCCTCAGCCTGAGAAGGAGCCAGAATTTACCAATGTACATTGCCAAAGAGCCACAGTAATAGTCAGCAGCCCCCCAGAACCTCCCTCCCCCCACCCACTCCCAGCACCTCCCACCCAGTCAATCAGCGCCTCCCCACACCTCCCGATCAACTGTTTTGTGGCATGCAGGAGGCTCAGAAGGGGAGTGGGAGGAGTGAGGGCACGGCAGGCTCAGGGGAGAGGGTGGGAAGGGGTGGAGTGGGGGCAGAGCCTGTGGCAGAGCCAGGAGTTGAGCAGTGAGCACCCCCTGGCACATTGGAAAGTTGGCACTTGTAGCTCCAGCCCCAGAGTCGGTGCCGATACAAGGAGTCGCATATTAACTTTTGAAGAGCCGCATGTGGCTCCGGAGCCAGAGGTTGGCCACCCCTGATTCAGGCCAACAGACTTAGAGGATTTCCTCTTTATTCGGTTTTGGATTTTTTTTTTTTAAACATTTTCTAATAAAAGAAGGAACTTCACCTGTGCTCTTCATTCAGCACTGGAGGAGGGTAGCAGCTAGCTTGTGACTCTATTGTAGCAGTGAATTACATATCAATATAGATCATCATCATCAAAAGCACAAAAACATGCTTCAAGAGTACAGTGATTTAGTAAAGTTAAATACCAGTGATCAAGAAAGCAATCAGCACTCCAGTGTAGGCTCTCTTTTCTTCTCACATCTAAAACTTAAAGTTCTATGCAGATATCCTTAGGCCATTCTGCAACCATTCCATGTGGAGATGGGCCCTGACCCCCTGTCCTGAATTTTGAGAAAGGTTGGATTCAGTCAGAACTTCACTGTTCAGGCCAATCTCTCTGATGTGCCCAAACTGGAACTCTGAATCCATAGAGAAAGTTTAGGTTCAGGTCCATTTCTGGATCCAACCACTGCAGCTCAAAACTCAAACTCTTGCATCCCCTCAACTCCCTATAACGTCTGAAGGGTTTGGCATCAGTTGAAAGCTTTGGATTCATATTTCCAACATTTTGTTTGGTCCATTATATAGATGGTGACCAATTGTGAAATTTGCGTATGGTTCTGAATCCAGAAATTGACTTTCTCAAAGTTCAAATCTGAATAGATTTTTGGACTTCTCACACTTTTTCTACTCTAAATTTTAAAAGGCTATATAATTCATTTATTTATTTATTTTACTTTGGTACTTTTCTTTCATTCTTGACACTTCAGCGGTACTCATTACTGCATTCGTGTTGTTTGGTGTTTGTACAGAAGCCATGGTGTACTAGATGCTGTATAGACTGATAAGACAAGGTCCCTACTCTACCTAGTGTACTACCTAAAATAGATACGTACTCAATAGAATCATAGAACTGGAAGGGACCTCGAGAGGTCATCTAGTCCTGTCCCCCGCACTCATGGAAGGACTAATTATCTAGACCATCCCTGACAGGTGTTTGTCTAACCTGCTCTTAAAAATCTCCAATGATGGAGATTCCACAACCTCCCAAGGCAATTTTTCAACAGTGCTTAACCATCCTAACAGTTAGGAAGTTTTTTCAAATGTCCAACCTAAACTTTCCTTGCTGCAATTTAAGCCCATTGCTTCTTGTCCTATCCTCAGAGATTAAGCAAAACAATTTTTCTTCCTCCTCCTTGTAACAACCTTTTACGTACTAGAAAACCGTTATCATGTCCCCTGTCAGTCTTCTGTTTTTCAGACTAACCAAACCCCATTTTTTCAAATCTTCCCTCATAGGTAATGTTTTCTAGACCTTTAATCATTTTTGTTGCTCTTCGCGGGACTCTCTCCAATTTGTCCACATCCTTCCTGAAATGTGGCGCCCAGAACTGGACACCATACTCCATTTGAGGCCTAATCAGAGTGGAAGAATTACTTGTCGTGTCTTGCTTACAACACTCCTGCTCCAGAATTATGTTCACTTTTTTTGCAACAGCATTACACTGTTGATTCATATTTAGCTTGTGATCCACTATGACCCCAAGATCCCTTTCCGCAGTACTCCTTCCTAGGCAGTCATTTCTCATTTTGTACGTGTGCAACTGACTGTTCCTTCCCAAGTAGAGTACTTTGCATTTGTCCTTATTGAATTTCATCCTATTTACATCAGACCATTTCTCCAGTTTGTCCAGATCATTTTGAATTTTAACCCTACCCTCCAAAGCACCTGCAACCCCTCCCAGCTTGGTATCATCCACAAACTTTATAAGTGTGCTCTATATGCCATCATCTGAATCATTGATGAAGATATTGAACAAACAGACCCAGAACTGATCCCTGTGGGACCGCACTCATTATCAATGGTTCACAGTCAGGCTGGAAGGGCATGACTACTCTCTAGGAACCATTTTCCAACCAGTTTTGCACCCACCTTATAGTAGCTCCATCTAGGTTGCATTTCCCTAGTTTGTTTATGAGAAGGTCAGGTGAGACAATATCAAATGTTTTACTAAAGTCAAGATATACCATGTCTACCACTTCCCCCTATTTAC